AGATATACCAAAACACAAAGCAGTCCCGAATTTTTATAATGACAAGATATAAAATTAAAGTGTTCAGTCCATTTAAATTTAGGAACTTTTGTTATATAGCTGAAATAGCCCAATGTCTGTTTATAGTGTTGATATATCAGCAGTTCTCAACTTGTGGGTCTCAACCTGTTTGTAACAGTGGAAATACGTTCTGCATATCAGATACTTACATTACAATTCATAACAGTAGCAAAATTACAGTTATGAAGTAGCAACGAAAACAATTTTATGTTTAGGGGTCACCATAACATGAGGAACTGTATTAAAGGGTTGAGGCATAAGGAAGCATTAGGAAGGCTGAGAACCACTGATAGGTATAATTTAGTTATGCAGAATTTTAAGATATAAAGATTTAGACATAACTCAATTTCTTCATCTCATGCAACAATTTTATTTAAATGCCTTATCATTATTGTTTGTCATCATCATTGTCACTTTTTGGTTGTGTGACATATTTTTTTGGAGTGTACAAATTCAGTTCCTACATGTGCCAGAATGCTTCCCAAGCTACAGGTATTCATTCTTGATATCCCCAAATAATGTGCTACTTTTCATTGAAACCAATTAATGTATTACTTTCAATTGCAATCTTTAGAAGGTATGTTTTATGGCACTATAGACTCTGGAATTATTGTAGTAATTACTGAATTTATATTTCTTTGCTTTCTTTTTTTACATTATGAAAATCTTCAAACTGAAAAGAATTTTACTTCCAAGCTCAGTTCTACCGTTAGCATTTTACTGTATTAGCTTTTCCCATAGCTATTCATCTCTACATAGCAGTCTATCTTTTTTAAATTCCAGATTTATATATGGGTACAAATGATTAGGTTACACTGTTTGCATTTGTTGGGTGAAGTGCAAATTGTAGTTGAGCCCTTCACGCAGGAAGTGTGCTGTGTACCCCTGAATTGTGCACATTAAATGAGAGCTTACTAACCCCCTTCTGCATCCCCTTCTCACACTCCCCACTTGAATTGTGTTTTTTCCTTATGTGGGCATGTAGTTGTTCATCTACTAGTGTCATATCGGTATTGAGTACACTGGCTGCTTGCTTTTCCATTCTTGTGATACTTAGGAGGATGTCCTCCAGATCCATCCGAGAAAATACAAAAGATGTAAAGTCTCCATCTTTCTTTATGGCTGAATAATATTCCATGGTATATATATACCACTGTTTATTTATCCATATATGAGTTGATGAACACTTGTTTCCATGTCTTGGCGATTGTGAATTGAGCAACAATAAACGTTCTAGTGCAAATGTCCTTATGATGAAATGATTTTTTTCTTCTGGGTAGATACCTAGTGATCATTTGGAAGGTCTACTTCTAGCTCCTTGAGGATTCTGCATACTTCTTTCCAAAAGGGCTGTATTAATTTGTAATCCCGCCAGCAGTATAAAACTGTTCCCTGCCCATGCCAGCATCAATCTAACTTTTTAAAAATGCATTTCAAAGCACCTGCCTCCTTTCTTAATTCTCTGTCTGCTGTAAACATGCAAAGTCATTATTAATTCAGGTTGCAGCAGGCTTAATGTGTTTTCTCCACATTGAAACAGTTAGTTAGAAAATCACCATTTTATAACCACCAATAATTAACCAGTTCAGACAAGGATCTTTAATGGATGCTAAAGATCGAGTGAAAGATTTTTAGGGAGTGGGATATTCACAAGGTTTCAAGTATCTTTCCACAAATTTTTCAACTCCAAAGGGAAAAGTATAATGGAAAGACCTGGCAGTCTGTGCCTTAAGAAATGATTAAGCTGGCTCGGCGCCTATAGCTCAACCGGCTAAGGCGCCAGCCACGTACACCTAAGGTGGCGGGTTCGAATCCCCAGCCCGGACCCGCCAAACAACAATGACGGCTGCAACCAAAAAATAGCCAGGCGTTGTGGCGGGCGCCTGTGGTCCCAGCTACTTGGGAGGCGGAGGCAGGAGACTCGCTTGAGCCCAGGAGTTGGAGGTTGCTGTGAGCTGTAATGCCATGGCACTCTACCCAGGGGGACAGCTTGAGGCTCTGTCTCAAAAAAAAAAAAAAGAAATGATTAAGCTTTATCAGTGGTAGGACAGCCTGACAAGCTGCATCTTCTGATGTGACACAGTGAGAAGTAACAGCACTTCACCTGTGTGCTTTTTTTGGGTAATTTTTGACTTGAGGAAACACAAGTCCAGGATATTGGATGTTTTACAGAACCTCCCTAGAGGGAGGAAAGTTTCTGGTCTAGATTGGAATAGGTAAAAAAGATAAATACAACCTTAAAAAAGAATTATGGAGTGGGGAAAAATTAGAACAGCAATAAAGGATAATTCTGAGCCCTTAGGGAAATTTGAGTATGAATTATATGTTGAATGAAGTTAATCTTGATTTCTTAGATACGCTAATGATTGGTTGTAAAGGAGAATGTTCTTGAGAGACTCTGGTAGAAGGATTTAGGGCTGAAATGTTAACAATGTCTGCTGACTGCTTTATGATGGCTTAGCGAACGGGAAATGAGTGTATGTGTAGGAAGACTGATAGAAAAGGATATGTCCGGGTGGCACCAGTGAATCTAGGTCAGGAGTATTCAGGAATTCCTTGTAATGTATGTCAATCTCTCTGTGAAGTTTTAAAGATAAACCATAACACAAGAAACGTTCTAAGTACTTGAAAAAAGTAAAGTAACTGCCCTTCTGAGAGAATTGGGGGATTTTTCATCTTGTACACATGGTAGATGGCTTAGATTTTCTGCCCTCTATGGATTTCAGGTGCAACTAACATGTTATTTGGGGTATATGTAGTAAAATCTTTATAAGTCTATGAACAATACTAATCTATTTTATTTTTTAGTTTCGTTTAGATTCTATCCAGATACAGCTAAAAGGTAAGCTACTTTATATCTTTTTTTCTTCATTAACTCTAACGTTCTTTGTAGGAATAAATGAGATTAAACAATATTCATACATTTCATTAAGATAATCAGTCATAGCTTGGCACCTGTGGCTCAAGTGGCTAAGGCACCAGCCACATACACTTAAGGTGACGGGTTCGAATCCAGCCCGGACCTGCCAAACGACAGCTGCAGCCAAAAAATGGCCGGGTGTTGTGGCGGGCGCCTCTGGTCCCAGCTGCTTGGGAGGCAGAGGCAGGAGACTCTCTTGAGCCCAGGAGTTGGAGAGCTGTGATGCCACGGCACTCTACCCAGGGGGACAGCTTGAGGCTCTGTCTCAAGAAAAAAGATAATCAGTCATTACATAAATCTTCTTAACAAAGAACATATATCTTGGTCTAATTTCATTATGTAGTATCACAGAGCCAAAATTTTTAGAACCTCCTTTTCATATGGGAAAAATGTAGATGCTCCTTTAAGGTAGTTGCAAAGATTTTTCTTTATTTCCCATGAAAGTTATTGACAGAGCAGTAATCAATATATGCTTAACTTTAAACTTATATTTCCCCACAGTTTACCTGCATTCATGATTTGCTCTTAAGAATTGATTCCTTTTCCATTTCCTTTTGTTTTCTTTCAGAACCAGAAGGTGATCCTGTAGATATTATTTTACATACCTCTGATCTAACTAAATGTGAATGGTGTAATGTCCGAAAATTACCAGTAGTGTTTCTTCAGGCCATACCAGCAGTTTATCAAAAGCTGAGCATGAAACTGCAAATGAATAAGGAGGATAAAGTTTGGAATGATGGTAAAGGAATAAATAAGTTAACAAGTAAGTTATGTAGAAGAGATTATAATAATACATACAGTCTGTTGAATAGAAGAATGTGGGTGCACTTTCTAGACGCCTTAGTTGTGTGTTATCTCCAGTCCCTGTATTACCTACCACTGCCTTGTAAAGTAGGCATTGCTTCCTGCATTGTACAGATACGGAAAAACTCACAACACATAGAAGGGCTGAAGGTAAAACCTAGGTTTACCCATTTAAGAAGTTTTAAAGTGGACTAAAACTCAGAAGACTTGGGGAGGGGGAAACTCAAAAGATCAGACTCTTTAACACAGTGTAGCTGAGAAAAATGATTTTTTTTTTAACTGATAAGAATATTAAGTGTAGGGTGACACCTATGGCTCACTGAGTAGGGCGCTGGCCCCATATACCAAGGGTGGCGAGTTCAAACCCGGCCCAGCCAAACTGCAACAACAACAATAAAAAAATAGCCGGGCGTTGTGGTGGGCGCCTGTAGTCCCAGCTACTTGGGAGGCTGAGGCAAGAGAATCGCCTAAGCCCAAGAGCTGGAGGTTGCTGTGAGCTATGATGCCATGGCACTCTACTGAGGGTGACAAAGTGAGACTCTGTCTCTATCAAAAAAAAAAAAAAAAGAAGAATATTAAGTATAAATAAACCATGTACATCTGGAGCCTTAAAACATAGCCTGAATAGGAAGTTTTCAAGTTCATAGAATCTTTGCAGTAGTCTTTACCATACACAGGTACAATTCTCTTCTCTAGTTTGTTTTCCTTCATCTCTAATATTTGTGACATAGTATGCGTGCTTATAAAGTAAATACATTTCAGGAGTAATTAATTGCTGATTCACCTTAACGATGAATAAATACTAGTTACCGCTGAAGTTAGAAGAGTTGGCACCTTAGTGAACAGCAGTTTTGCAGTTAAGTTTTCTAGAGATACTGTCAGTTCACTTAGCAGTTTCCTATTTATATTTGACAAACATGTTAACCAATATAGTATTTTATGACTACAAATAGGTTTGGAATTTATTAGCTGAAGTAAATTAGTCACAATGATGAATAGCTTTGTTCTTGAGCTGTTGCTAGAGTAATGTGCCCTGGTTCCTTCTCTTAAGAACTTGGGTAACTGGCTCGGCGCCTATGGCTCAACCGGCTAAGGCGCCAGCCACGTACACCTAAGGTGACGGGTTCGAATCCCCAGCCCGGACCCGCCAAACAACAATGACGGCTGCAACCAAAAAATAG